AAGAATGCATGCTTCAATCCTTCACAAGGTGGCATCTCCATTGAAAATGGCTTCAAATGTTTCCTATCATATAGCAACTCCTCAAAGCCTGGCTCTAAAAATTTTCTGCGTTTATCCTGCTTAGCATTAGAAATAGAGAAAACATTAGAATGATCATTCAAAAAGTCATCATCTAAATCAAAGTCACCAAGGAGGTATTCTAAAGATTCAAAATTTTCCCTCTCATATACTTCCTCAACCAGTGAATCTATCATGTAGATTTGATAACATTCATCATCATCATATAGTTGCTTCCCAACATGAAAAATATTCACCTCAAGAGTCATATTCCCAAATGAAAGTTTCATCAAACCATTCCTACAATTAATAAGAGCATTAGTAGTAGCAAGAAATGGCCTTCCTAAAATAAGTGGAATCTTTGACTCACTATTAACTTCAGATTGAGTATCTAAAACAAGAAAATCAACAGGATAATAAAATTTATCAATCTGAAGCAAAACATCTTCTACTATCCCTCTTGGTTTCCTACAAGAACGATAAGCCAATTGTAACACCACAGATGTGGGTTTTATCTCCCCAAGACCTAGTTGCAAATAAACTGAATAAGGCATTAAATTTACACTTGCTCCTAAATCCAAAAGAGCTTGACCAAACTCTTGTGACCCAATTTGGCAAGCAATTGTTGGGCACCCTGGATCTTTGTACTTTGGCGGTGTTTTTTGCTCAATTACTGCACTTACCTGCTCTGTCAAGAATGTAGTTTTCTTGACATAGTGTTTCCTTTTTATGGTGCATAGATCCTTGATCACTTTGGCATAAGTTGGTACCTATTTAATCACATGCAACAAAGGTAGATTAATCTTAACTTGTTTCAAATTTTCTAAAATCTCACCTTAGTTGTCTGAAATCTTTCTAGTTTTAAGAGCTTGAGGGAAAGGAACTCGAATTGGGACCTCCTTCTCAGGTTCTTCCAACAGGTCGTCTTCACGGCTACTTGGAGTAGCGTCTTTCAATTTAGGTGATTTTTGCAACGGCTCTATAACCTTACCAATACAAGTAGTGATTGCATTGACCCCTTGAATGTTCTTCGAATTAGAGGTAGATTCCTGCACCAAATGTAAATTTTTAGGATTAGCTTGAGGTTGAGATGGAATCTTACCTCGTTCTTGGATAGTAAGAGCATTGGTCAACTTAGTTAGTTGACTCTTGATATCCTTGTTTTCTTCAACCACCTGTGTAAGAATAGAATCAAATCTTTGGTTAGTCTTATTTTGTGCCTCCATAAATGCCTTAAGTGTTTCCTTTAAAGGATTTCTATCTAGTCGTGTATTGTATTGAGGTGTAGGGTAAGACCTAGGTGGTTGAGCTTCACTATTCCAAGTACTATTGGATGATGTGGGATGGTTTTGATTAGCCTTCCAACTAAAATTGGGATGGTTCCTCCAACTAGGATTGTATGTCTCTGAATAGGGTGAAAAAGGTTCCCTACCCATTCCTAATGCATTACATTGTTCTTCATAAACCTCTCTAATCTCACCATAGGTTAGGCAATCTTGAGCTAAATGATCCAATCCCCCACAAACAAAACATGGAGCCTGAGCTTCTACCCTTGCAACTGTGTGGGTGACTCTATTAATTTTCATTTTTAACGTCTCAAGTTCCCTAGTTGCAGCTTCCAATTGGGCTCTAAGGTTATCTTCCTCCTTAAGGTGATAAATCTCAGATGATCATGACCTACTAGTACTATAAGTGGCACTAGGTCCTGTCCAAGTGTGAGCTTTTTCAGCTAACTCATTTAAATAATTTATGGCTTCTTCTGGATCCTTATGCAAAAATTCTCCATTACACATCATCTCTATAAATTGACGCTCTCTACTAGTTAAACCCTCATAGAAATAACTAACCAACCTCCAAGTTTCATACCCATGATGTGGACACAAGTTTTGTAATTCTTTAAACCTCTCCCATGCTTGGTATAAGGTTTCACTATCCTTTTGAGAAAAT